GACGCATGTGCGATCGCCGCACGTCGCGTATGTTTTTCGTTTCTCCTTCACACCAATACACAACGACGTGCACAAACGCAAGCAGATGAATGACGTTTTCGTTGAAAAATATTATCGCTTGTGATGTGTTGAGCGAAAAATTTTAATCGCACTGCCAAATTCATAGGATTATTTATCTTTTAATGTTTTTTTAACTTTAATTTTAAAGGTGTTCAAATTCACTCGTCAAATGATAATGTTGTTTGATTCACAAGAAGAAATTGAGTGAACTATGTATGAGACGACAAACTAAATACACTATAACAAACCAAAAGACGACAAACGTCTTGTTCCTTGTAAACATTTCTCTAACGATGTTTCTTTTTTTTTTGTTGACATTCATTTTTGTTTGTTTCAACTATCGTTCATCAGTTTCTTATTCTTTTTGCATCAAACATGGCTCTCTCACTATCTGTCTCTTTTACACTTGATCACTGGTTTTATGCGTTACACAGAGAGAAAAAATAAATCAACACAAGTGGAATCGAAATAAAAAACAACAACAATAACGACAGCATTACATGAAAGGTTATGAAAAAACCGTTTTTGGTTGCCGTTTTAAAAATCTGAAATTGCAATGACAAAGTTATTCAAACAGCAAATTGATGATTTATTGAATATTCTGACGAAATCAAAGCTAAACTACGAAATTATAAAAAAAAACTGTGTTATATTGTATTTTATTGAAATATTTGTTAAATCAATGATTTTTACGTCGCACACAGATGTGCATTGACTCTTTGTGTATTTTTTTCTTGTACATAAATATTGTAAGGCAACTCGTTGGGATCAACTGAAAAAATCTTAATATTTTACATCTATTGAGATTCAAACCATTCTATCACACATTGTTCCTGCTTGTTCAAACACACAAATTGTGGTTTTGTTTTTGTTCACTTTCTTCTACTTCAAAATTGAATCGAATCTTCACAATGGAACAAATTTATTTAAATACTTTTTTTAATTTTTCATCTATTTCTTTACGGTTAATTTATTGTCATTTCTTAAGCTTGAGAATAAAAATTTCATTGAAATGCACACGGCGTTCCTTTTAACCAAAATATATAGTTTTCCCATACTAGAAATATACTTAAATGTAGTGCATTCTTTTCTATATATGCATATTATCGTGCTCGTTTTAGGAACGTAATTATGTTGTGAAGATGAATCAGACATTATTGAGAATTTCATCACATGCTTTTGCCACCAAACTTTCGAACGATGACAAACGAGATTGAGTGCGAACGGCAAAGAGATCTGAAAAATATAAATGAATCAATTTGGGTATAATGAATCCATAAAATTTGTGCATTCATTTCGAAATGCATGAGCAGAAAAAAATTATTTTTTGGAGTTACATACCTTTCACGAATGCAATGAGAGCTGGTTCCAATGGCCCAGCTTTGATTACCTTGACTGAAAACACACCAATGAGAGCTGCTTTGATGAATATTTTGTCCGCTTTAACATCCGATGCGCGCTCTGTATTGAGTTTAGTCAAAAATGCCACCAAACGCCCATTGATTTTTACTTTTTCAAATATATCGCCAACCTTCACGAGATAACAACGATCTTTTTCTTTCTATTGAGCAATGAAAACCAAAAAATATTATACAAAATTTTACAACCAATATTTTTATATGCCAAAAACAAAGTTACTTACACTTTCTTTGAATGGTAAGTTTCCTGACATCACATCATGGCTCTTGGTTTCATACGGATGTAAGATTGCAAGCAATTTTTGACCACGAATATAGCGAATTTCCATATCATCGTCCAAAATTTTGGTAACTTCGACTTGTCCTTTTTCATTGACTGTCACTTTCTCATTGCCTTCGTTGCTTGTGCTCGGATTCAATCTAACGGTATTTAATTGTTCGTTGTTCATGTCTTCATTTGCGTTACCAGAAATATCTTTGTTGGCATCAGATCGATCCAGCTGACCTACTGTTGCTTGGCCGGCATCATTTATTTCATTTGGCGATATATTCAACGCATGAATATCGATCAGAATCGGGTTCAAGCTGACAGCTCCAACGATATTTATACTACCATTACCGCTCACTTGAATGGAATTTGATTTTTCGTTGTTCATTCCGTCCGGAACACTATTTGGCAAGGCCACATTGACATTACCACAATCAATTTCGTTGACACAGGAATCGTCCGCATGATCAAATGTTTCTGTGTCGGCATCGTTTTCTTCATTTAACAACATATCCAATGCATGATTATCGTTGTCATCCATGTGAAATATTGGCATTTCAAATTTCACTTCGCCAATTTCGATGTTGTTTTCATCAAAATCATGTTCATTTTCAAAATGTTCAACGTTGAAATGCTCAATTTCGAAATGCGCGTCGTCATTTTCTTCTGGAATTGGTTGTTCAAAATGTTCATCGGTGCCATGTCTAACGTTGACATGCACAATTTCGCCATATTCGTTTTCAGATTGTGCGTCGTCATTTTCGTCTGGAATTGGTTGTTCGAGCAAACGCGCTTGATTGTAAGTTACAGGGTCTACTGGACGGAATCGCTCACAGTATTCTTTGGCATTTTCGAATGACTCTATAATAATTATATTAATATTAAATTCTGAAATGAATAGATAAAAAATGTTAAACTTACGGAAAAATCTTTTGATGCGGCCACGAAAACAAGCTGAATTGTTTGGCGGAAATTCGGTGGACAGTGGCAAATTAAAATTTGGTGGATTAAAAACCACATTAGAATGCGCGTTCACCAGATCATGCGACCAAAAAATTAAGTGATTGTGTTGCTTATGAACGCCCCATGTTTTCATTTCTGCTTCGATTTCAGAGATGCCAAAAATATACTCCTCTGGTACAACACAATGCACATGTGGATCAACTTGCAACACAACGACGGCAAACATTTTTGCAAAGAAACTAATTCGGTTTACTTTTTATTTGTTCACTTTTTAATCGAAATTTTCTTGTGCAATTAATTTTTGCGTTGATATAAAAAACTCAAACCAATGATGTCTAAAACTATTTTTTGCTCAAAGTTTTTTGCGTCGATCAACTGCGTGCCTTCTTCAAATGAACGGCTATTTTGCAATGGCTACTGGTTTGTGCACATTGACTCACAACGTTCTTATTCGCAATGATTCTGTTTAAGTTTACACGGCACGATGCTCGCGTTACTTCGTCGCTATGGAAACGATACCGTTGTGTGATTGCAAGTCATTAGGTTGCTTGGCCAAACGTCAAATTATGTTTGTATTATGCTGACACTTGTCGTTCACATCGATGTGTGTGGCATTTTCGTTTCATATTTTTGTATTCAAGTCTTAGTTCGCACCGAATGTCATCTCGAACTGTTTGAAAACATCACGTTTACATCAGATTGAAAATTATACTCGTACAATTTTGTCGATTGAATATTTAAAATAATTGATTTAAAAAGTGTTTGCATTGAGAGTCATCAACTAATTAGATTTGAATCGAAGGAGTATGGATAGTTTGCCGAAAACTCCTAGAAAAAGGAACCGACATACAGTGACCGAAAGATCATTGTCTTATTTTTCTCCAATAAAGAGTAAAAAGGCAAAAATTGAAAACGATGTCGAAATAATGTTCAACGACGATGCAGCAAAGGATGGAAAAACGCATACTTGCTCGTTATGTAAATTGGACTTCAATGGAACAAAACAATGGAATTTAGCAGCACATTTGTCAGCAAAACATCCGAATATTTACGCTGAAATTAGTGGCGAGAAGAATGAGCCGATTGAAGTGAAACGTACCAAATTGCTTCATTCTTTGGTGGAAATTGTGTCTGTCAATGGTCGTTCATTCACACATTTGCTTGATTCAGGATACATAAAATCAATACACCCGCGATTGGATGAACTTCGAGCCGCTGGGGTCGGATTGGATCTCCATGATTCGAATTTAACTGAAGTCAAGAAAAAACTAAGTGAAATTGCTGGAAAAATACGCGACAAAATACGAGATGAAGTAATTGGCAAACATCTCAGTTTGATGGCTGATATTGGTACAAAACACAATCGCTCAATATTAGGAGTGAGTATCCAATATTCGGTGGATGGAAATTTAAAAATACGATCAATTGGTTTTATCCAACTTTCTGAAAGTCACACTGGAATATATCTCGCTGAAATGATTGTTAATCGGTTGGAAGAACTTGGCATAGAGTTAAAACAAATATTTACAATAACGACTGACAACGGAAAAAACATTTTAAAAATGGTGCGTGATGTTCAAAGCCATCTAGTGAGTGAGATTAACACAAATAGAGCTACACAAGCAGAGGTTCAAAGTCAACACGATAACGAGAGAGCAATTAATGTGAATTATAATAATATTGATTCGGAAATTCAACAGTTGTTAGCAAATGTGATCGAACTGACTGACGATGAGGCTTTGGAACGTTGTTATGATGAAGCGGCATCTTTGTATAATGACTCACTTTTAAATTCAATGAAAGAAAAGTTAACAGACAATGGACGCACTATTACATACGATATTACTGGCGTAAACTGTGCTGAGCATCTTCTACAGTTAACCGTAAAAGATGGAGTCAATGATCTTGCACCAAATATTTCAAATGTAATTGATCTGAGCCGAGAAGCATGCAAATTACTACGGCAGGAAGCAATATGCAACCAAGCAGCAAAACTGGAAATGGAATATTCACTACCGCGATTGGAATGCGCTACGAGATGGGGTTCCATGTACCTAATGGTGAGTATTGTAATTGAGTTTTTGTTGAATTGTTCTTAAGTTCTTTCTTGAAATTAACTTATCTTTTTTGTTCAATCGTTTTTGGAAATTAATCGCTAAAAATTTATTTATTATCTTTTTTTGTTTTGTTTGTTTTGATACTTATATAGTTACGCGATATATATGACCGTAAGAACATTATCGAACACTTTGCTAATGCAAACAACTTGAAGCTGTTTCAATTGCTCCTGCAGAAGTGGTCTATACTTAAGGAGCTCGTGATCGTGTTACAAATTCCATACGATGTAACTATTGCATTCCAGAACAAAAGGCTTACGCTTTCCGATGTGTATGGCAAGTGGTTGGCAATGCAACTCCACTTGGAAGCATGCAATAAAAAGAAGTCATTCAAAACTGATTTGGCAAAGCACCTATTGAATGCAGCCAAAATTCGCAACGAAAAAATATTTAGCAACCCATTAATGGACAGCGCATTGTACTTAGATCCTCGTTTTCAATGTGAAGTCACGAAATGTGCTGAGAAAACAGCCAAAGCCAAAGAGACTTTGTTGAATATTTGGAATCGTCATCAGTTACTTCGCGAAGATGTTTCTATTCATAACGAAACCAGTGTAGCGTCAGCCGAGAGCCTGATTTTTGATTTCGACGTTGATGAAGCAATAACTTCACATTATGGAATTCATCAAAATGAAAATGAACAGATCGTGCCATCATTAAATATTTCAGATTTGATTGATCAATTCCAACCGGAAATAATGTCTCCTAGCCAATCGGTTCTAAATTTCTGGGAAGCAGAAAAAACAAAAAATCCGGAGCTCTACATCTTAGCGTCAATAATATTCAGTGTTCCACCTACAGAGGTGCAAATTGAACGGGATTTCAGCAGCTTAGATTTTGTTTTCACAAAGCGCCGAGGTAACCTCTGTCAACAACGATTAGAAGATATATTCATTATTCATTTGAATAAAGATTTGTTTGAATTAGTCGCTAATCAAGAGATTGAGACTTTCTTGGAAAAATGTTAAAAAAATTCTGCATATCGTTTTTAAGTTGATCCCAACATTATTTATGTACAAGAAAAAAGTTACAGAAAGTCAATACACATCGGTGTGCGACGTGAAAATCATTGATTAAACTAATATTTCAATAAAATACAATATAACACAGTTTTTTATTTATAATTTCGTAGTGTAGTTTTGATTTTATCAGAATTGAATATAAATCCCCAATTACATGCTATTTGAATAATTTAGTCAACGCAATTTCAGATTTTTAAAACGGCAACCAAAAATGTTTTTTTCTTTCTATATAATATATAATGCTGTTGTTGTTGTTTTTCTATTTCGATGAACGATAATTGAAACCTATTACAAGTTTCAACAATCATCATACAAACAAAAATGAATGTCAACAAAAAATAAATAAACAACGATAGAGGAACGTTAACAAGGAATAAGACGTTTATTTTAGTTTGTCGTGTCTATGTATCGACGTGCTTGATTTGTAGAATGTACACACCACATAACTTTTGAAAATATGTGTGGTTAGAATACATTCTGTAACCAAAATATCACTTTACGTCATCATATCAACCTAAAATAAAATATACATTTAAAATTAAAATTAAAACCACATTAAAATCCTGTGAATTTAGTAGTGCGATCATAATTTTCCACTAAAAACATCACAATCGATAATGTTATTCAACGAAAATGTCATTTATTTGCTTGCATGTATTTTTAAGCAACGTGCGTTCGAGCACGTCTCTGTGTATTGGTATGAGGGAGAAACGAAAAACATACGCGCCTTGCGGCGACCGCACATGCGTCACATAGCTCCTATTCACAGCGCCTACTGAATAGCA